CTCTCTCTCTCTCTCTCTCTCTCTCTCGTCTGCGTTCCGTATCTTCGCCCGCGGATGAAACAATTAGTTGATGTCGTTCAGCCGTCCGCGGAACTTCAAAGATGATGTGCAGTTGGTGCCAGTCGGTTTGTTTGCTCGAACCAGTTCCCCGGTGACCTGCGGAGGGTGTTTAGTCGACACCGCTCAGCCGTCCACAGATTTGCGTTGATGATGCGCTGTCGATGCTGGTCGATCCCTTGCTCGAACCAGTCGCGAGGCTGGAGCCGTCGTGCCCACGCAGCTACACCCTTGAGGCGAGCTCCGATGATGGCGGGGTGACAGCCTTAGCGATGGCGTGAAGCTGGGGCGACAGTCTTGGCGATGGCGCGCAACTGACCTCCACGTTCCCACGAGCCTGTCGTGGCTGACGTGGCGTTGGTGCTCGCTCCTACCTACTCTTTCTTACAACGGGCCAGCCGCAAAATTGATTTTGCTATCAGGTTTGGCCCCATCCAGCTACGCTGCATACGTATGTCGAAGGTCAAAATCCACAAACTGGGTGATAGCAGAGAACTTAAGAGTGACCCAACCGCTTTCCCCAAAACTCCTTGAGAAGCTTGCTCCTTTACCAAACTTGTTGACCCTCACGCAGTTGTGTCCTTTGCCTACCGCCCAGTCACACACCCAATTCACGGCTTCTAAAATTGACTTGTGCGGAAGCCTAGTAAACATTTCTTTGCTGTCAAAGCTTGCAGCTAGCAAACAGCCATCTGAACACCTAGCGGCTCGTTTGTCTATCTCCTGAATTCGTGGCTTGGGAAGATTGGTGGACTTCAAGTTGAAGTGAGATTTGGATGGGAGGTTCCACAAAAGGAAATTGATAGCCCTGGCCACTATTTTGCAAGCCCTAACCCCTGGTTCAACAAAAGATGGTGATATTGGTCGCCACCTAGAGATATCCTTATGTTTTGGGCTACCATAGCAATTGCCTAATGTGCCCTTGCAATTCCAGGGGGCAATCCTGTTAGCATTTATGACATCATATTCACTTTTACATTTCCGCAGGACTTCATCCTGTCGGGAGTCATCCAGCCGGGAGTCATCCACCTCAAAGCTTGTGTTTTCCCAGAATAGCTTAGCAAGGGCCTGAAAGCAAACACCTTTGCAGCAGATGAGAGTATCGCTGATATTATGGTCTATAGGGCGAGCCACAAAATTCCCCAACTTGTCTCTCCATTCCATCAGTAATTCGGTCCTAGAGCTTGCCTTTCGACTGCGTTCCTTCAGGCAGCGTGCAAGGAAGATGAGCAATAGCGAACTTCAGCAATCAAACAGCATCATACATATGAGTCCAGATAGTCTTGACCTCGAACCAACAGCAGAATTGCATCACGAGATTCACCAAATAAGAACACACCAAGAGTTCATAATTGACAATGCTGGAATAGTAACATCATCATCAACGAAGAACCAGAGTTGATATCCTATCTGGCGCTCGGCGCCCAGACTACATGTGGCACATCCTATCTAGCCTATACTACGAAGCCGAAAAATGACATCAACAGCATTCCCGAAGTACGAGCATATGGCGACCAATGTCGCACGCTTCCAGCACCAGGTATGTCTCGCGCTACACTCACAACCTCGTTCCCCAACTCCCAGATGCCACTAGCACCCAAGGACCACCCTGCGCCTCACCCAGCTTACAGCAACGCAGCTTGGCTATGGTTGCGTGCTCCTTCCCTGCTCGCCCGTGAGAGCGTAGGCGCCAGCCAGCAAATAGCGCAGCAGCAGCGCTTGCGCAGCATGCAGCCAGCACCCGAATCCGAATGAGGAGGCAGGCCCTTCCCTATATCGAAGTGGCCTGCCCGCGTCCAGTTCCAGGAAGCTTCCAGTAGGCCCCGGTAGCCTGAGGCCTAGCACGACGAGCGCAGGCCCTGGGCCTGTAGTGGTTGCATGTGCCCAACTGCCTTCGGCCTTTGTTTGGCCCGGTRCCCGTATCCAGCCCAGRGCCTGCTTCACATTCATTCACACAGGCGGCCCAGGGCCTGGGTTCACTCAACCAACTGGCGCTGCGCAACTGCCTGAATTTCCCTGAGTTGCGTAGTGGCCAGAAAAGGGCCCTGAGGGCCTCGTCGAGCCTGCCTTCACTTAGGGCGGCCGACGGGCTGCAAAAATGGGGCCTTATGGGGCTCATAGAGGCAATGGCCTCACATTCCCTCCTCCTCAGCTTCAACAGTCCTCTGAGAAGCTCAGTCTTCGATCATAGGGCGCTTTCCCTTCTGCAGAGATCTCTCGTATTGGGTTACAACTTGAGGAGAGGTCTGCATGAGCTCTTCCCTGGTGAACCATCGGTCCTCCTTCGGATCAGTGTGATGCCGAAACCGAACCCGGTACCACAGCTTCGGTTTTGGAGGACGTCCCCGGCCTGCTGGTCTTGATACCGGCAGCTCTCTGTGATCCACAACATCATCGATGTCCACCTCTCCATCCATGGTTGGGGGCAGCATTGAGCGACAAGATGGAAACTGATCAGTCTTTTTGAAAGGTGCCAGTTTGGAGGCGTGAAAGATAGGGTAAGTACGAAGATGACCAGGTATCCGGATAACATAGGATGGCCCATCCGGATCTGTCCCAACGATATCCAAGACTTCCCAGGGTCCAAAGTATTGGGGCATGAGTTTGCGGGAAATCCCGTGCTCCTGTCCCAGTTCTGACGACTTAACCCAGACCCTATCCCCAACCTGAAATGTAGAAGGCCGACGGTGTCTATTTTCCGACTCTATCATTGCAGTCTGCGCCTTCTGCATCTGTTCTACAGCCTGCTGCATCTTCTATTCATAGCGGTAAGCAAATTCCAAGGTACCTGGTGCAGCAGTGGTTTGATTCTCAGGAAGAAGAAAGTCTAGGGGTAGTCTAGGCTTGAATGTTAGCAGTAAGCTGTTTGGGCTCACCCCGGTGGCGCTGTGTACAGCGTTGTTGTACAAGCTGGCGATTAGAGCAAGCTTCTCATCCCAGTCCACCTGGTTGGGCTTGATGTAATGCCTCAACAGGTGTTGCACAACGCGGTTCAGTTGCTCAGCCTGACCGTTGGCCTCTGGGTGATTCCCAGAAGTCATCTGCAACTGAGTTCCCTGTTCTGCAGCAGCGGCCTTCCACAACTCACTGGTGAACCGGACATCTCTGTCACTAACAATAGACTTCGGTAGACCAAAGTCCCTGACCCAGTTCTCTTTAAACATTCTAATCACGTACTCTGTCTTTGCTGTTTCCGGCATGGCTATTAACCTAGCATACTTACTAAATCTATCCACGATGACAAAGATGTGACGCATCCCACTCTTGCTGGTGATAAGAGTATCCATGAAATCCATGGATAGACTCTCACCAGGTCGTTCCGGAATCGGAAGGGGCTTCAGAAGCCCAAGAGGAGCCTCAGTACGTGGCTTGTCCTGTTGACAAACTTGACAAGTCTCCACGTACAGCTGGGCATCTCGCATCATCGTGGGCCGCCAGAACCGCTGCAGCAAGTTAGCTGCGGTCTTCTTGTACCCAAAATGGCTGGTGGCATCATGACACTCACCTAAAAACAAACTACGCAAAAACTCGCTATTTGGAACACACAAGCATTTATTCCCTGCCTTTTCCAGGAACAACAAGCCATTGACCAACTCAAACTTGGCGGAAGTCTTCTTGTCCTTCACCTCAAGTCTGCGTATGATCTCAGACATAAACTGGTCCTGGGGATAGGCTTCCACCAGAGACTGAGTAACATTGTCTGTCAGATCGAACTCAGTAATCAACGCATCTGAGAAGTCCGGTCTGCGCGACAAGGCATCAACAACCTTGTTGTACTCCCCTTTGAGATACTGAGGGTCAAAGTCATATTGCTCAATGACTTCGATCCAACGCTTGAGAGCGTCAGAGAGTACCGGCTGGGTTCTCATCCATCTCAGAGTCTGATGATCAGTCCTGAGGATGAAGAACCTCCCAAGGAGATAGTGTCTCCAATGGGTGAGAGCCTTGTACACCGCATAGAGTTCCTTCTCATAAGTGGACTTAGCCAACTTATGAGACGACATTTTCTTGGACATGTACTCTACTGGCCTCAACTTTGGCCCCTCCTGCTGCGCGAGCACGACGCCAATGCCATATTGGCTAGCATCCGTGGTGACTATGAATGGCTTGTCAGGATCAGGCAGTTTCAAGACCTCGTAGTGTGTCAACGCATGCTTCAGATGTCTGAAAGCAGCCTCACACTCGTGTGCCCACTCCCATGGGGTGTCAAGGCGGGTCAGATCAATCAAAGGAGCGGCCACTATGCTATAGTTCTTAACGAAAGTCCTATAGTAGCCTGTCATTCCTAAGAAAGATCTCATCTCAGTCACAGACTGAGGACGTGGCCAATCACAAATCCTGGCCACCTTCGCATCATCGTGCTTCAACCCTTCCGCGGAAATCTCATGACCCAAGTACAAGACACGGGTGCGGCCAAACTCGCACTTCTCACCGTTGATCTTGAACTTGTGTTGTCACAGGAGGCTGAGGACTTTGTCCAAATGTGCAATATGCTCCTCGACAGTCTTACTAAAAATAAGTATGTCATCGAGGTACACGATGACAAACTTATCTAAGTAGTCATGGAATATCCGATTCATAGCGTGCTGAAAGGTGCTAGGAGCATTGCAAAGGCCGAAAGACATCACCACAAACTCGTACAGACCATACCTAGTCTGAAAAGCGGTTTTGTGTTGATCCTCGGGCCGGATTGCAATCAGATGGTACCCGGACTTTAGATCTATCTTGCTGAAGTACCGGCACCCTTCCACTCTATCTAGCAGATCGTCGATGCGCGGTAGGGGCTCTCGGTTCTTTACAGTGATGGCATTGAGGCCCCTATAGTCAATGCATATCCTAAGAGTACCCTCCTTCTTCTTAGGCACGAATGGAACTGGAGACCCATAAGGAGAGACACTCGGCCGGATCCACCCCTTCTCTAAGAGTTCCTTGAGTTGGTGGCGTAGCTCATCAAGCTCGCCTGGAGACATCCGATAGATCCTACCCTTCGGAATACTTGACCCTGGGATAATCTCTATCGCGTGGACGACCTCCCTTTCAACAACTCTTGTCGGCTCTTCAAATAGATCAGGGTACTTAGCAACTACTCCCGCTATCTCCGGCGGCATTTTCACCGGCTCGCCTGCAGCAGAGACATAAACTAAGTACATACCCTCCTCCTGATTTCTCTAATACTCTAAAGCAAATAGAGGGTCTCGCGTGACGGTCCCACGCGAGCACCCGTCGCCAGTGTTGGGAATGGTTGAGATGGGCCCAGGGCCCATGCCAGTGGCCAATGGCAGGGAGCGGGCGGGGAATCGCGACGGGACTGGGCGGGGAAGCGACGAGCGGAGCGAAACGGTAGGGAAAGCAAACGCGTAGGGAGCGGGCGGGGAGTTGACAGAGATGCGTACCGACAGGACCGGGTGGGGAAGCGACGAGCGGAGCGAAACGGCACGACAGAGACTAGCAGGCGGTAGGGAAAGCAAACGCGTAGGGAGCGGGCGGGGAGTTGNGACCGGGTGGGGAAGCGACGAGCGGAGCGAAACGGCACGACAGAGACTAGCAGGCGGTAGGGAAAGCAAACGCGTAGGGAGCGGGCGGGGAGTTGCCAAAGATGCGTGTCGGGTGGGCGAGCGGGCGGGCGGGGAGTTGACAGAGATGCGTGTCGCGTGGGCGAGCGAAGAGGGCATGTGGTAGATAAAGAACGGGGGAGAGAGAGAGAGGGAAAGAGATAGGGCGATGAAGTGGTGAAAGGACAACGGGAGAGAGGGCGATGAGGCGGTGAAAGGAGACGATACGTGGTGAAAGGAGAACGGGAGAGAATGGTAAAAGGAGACGAGGAGGGCAACGAGAGCGTGTCGGAGTCAAGCAACAGGAGAGAGAAAGAGAGGGAAAGACACAAAGGGGAACGTGGATGAGATATAGGAAGTGCAGAGCGCAAGGAGGTTTATCCACGAGGCGTGTAAACGCGGGGACGGGATAGAAACGGGGAGACAGTGGAAGATAGCAAAGTCGGGATCGCCCGGGAAGAACTTCGCAAGCAACATCGCCATGGCGGACCGGGGTACGCTCTATATCCTTCCTCCTCTTTCTCTCTCTCTCTTCCTCTGTGTGTTCTTCCTCTTTTTGTGCGCGGGGTGGAATCGCGGTTTCTTTTTCTCTCCCTCCCTCTCTCTCTCTCTCTCTCTCTCGAACCGATCTGTAACATGTGTGCCTCGGTCGACATCGACCGAGTCTTCCATTCCAACGTCCATAGATTCGCTATTGAAGACAGAGGGATTGAACGAGATACACATCGTCAACAGAGAGAGAGAGAGAGACAGAGAGAGAGAGAAAGAGAGAGAGAGAGAGAGAGAGAGAGA